ACCTGTCCTGCCCACACCACTGGGCCCTCTGTGCCAGGCTCTATGCTAGTTGGGTGTGAATTAAGTGCTGTCTCCCCATCCCCCTTCTCACGTAAGTGCTGTGATGGCCAAAGTAGGTCTGTTTCTATCAAGGTATTCAGCGTGGACTCCCTGGGGCTTCTCATCTTGCCCTTTCCACATCTCTGCCTTAGAACAAGCCCAAACTGACCCCCACAGCCTCAAGACTGCATGGAGACTTCTGGGGCCCCGCTGTATACACCTCACTGTGACACAGATCCCATCAGCCTCTGTAGGTGCCCATGTGCTTCTCCACTGACACCTTTGTGTAGGGCCCTCCTGGTGCCTGGGAGCTAGCTCAGCGGGGACCACACTGCTTCTGCGGCTCTCCACTGCCCCACCCACCTGTCTGGGTCCTCACTCACTCCTTCATGTCGGCACCTCCCTCCCTTACTATAGTAGAAACTCTGTGTGAGGGGCGCCTGGGTGGCTTAGTCGGTTAGGCGTCCGACACTCGCTTCGGTCATGATCTCGCAGTTCGTGGGTTCGAGCCCCGCGTCGGGCTCTGTGCTGACTGCCAGCTCAGAGCCTGGAGCCTGTTTCAGAGTCTGTGACACCCTCTCTCTCTGATCCTCCCCTGCTCACGCTGTCTCTCTCTGATCCTCCCCTGCTCACGCTGTCTCTCTCTCTCTCTCCTAGAAATAAATTAAAAATATATAAATTAAAAAAAAAAAAAAACTCTGTGTGAGTCAGGGACTGTGTATTTCCTTCCCACTGCGCGTACTGGCTCCTGGAGTTCAGTGAGGGCTTCGGCCAGTCCCTCTGCTGGGGTCTTGAAGGAATGGATGGTGACAGGCCCCACTCAGGACAGCTGTGGGTACATGGCAGAGTGGGGTACGGCCTGTTACCTTGAAAGACTCTGGAAGGATCCGGCAGTGTTTGCAGCCCTGCCCCTTGGCAGGGCAGGTCATGGGACAGTTTCCAGGTGACAGCATGAGGGAAAACAAGGCCTAAAGAGATAGGGAAGGTGTGGTTCCAGTTGTCACTCCCGATCCCTCTAGGCAGATTTGAAGCCAAAAGTCCCACCAGTGGGCAAGGAAGCCCTTGGGTCAGTGGGGCTTGGGGAGAGCAGCTGAACCCACTGGCTGAGGCAAAAATGTCCATGGTGCCCTCTCAAAGTCCCAAGAGATGACAAACCTTGAGCTAGAATGGTGCAGTCTTACAGAAGCACTTGGAACTTTCTGCCTCGTTTTAATGTCCCACTGAACAGACCAATTGTTGCTTACCCTGCCCTCTGGCTCGTTTATGTTCTTGATCTTTTAAAACAAACTCAGAAGCACTGGAGTAGCTCACTGTGTTATGTGCACAGTCACACTGAAATGCATTTTATTTTAATATAAGTTACATTCTGTTTTTCCTTTATCTTTATCAAGGCACTTACAGACGTAGGTTAGATTACATGTTGATTTCATTGCAGGATGGCAAGTAGATTAGAGACTCTGTAAGGTTCAAAGAATGCAGGTGTTATGTCCAGGTCCTGAGCCACTTGGAGGGGAAGATGTAGTCCTGTAACCCTGTCATACTGTATGTAACACTACAGGCTTTATCCACCTTGGGTAGCCTCAGATCCCAGTCTAGAAATTTAACAGCTGTTTATCAGGCCATGTTTTTCACTCACAATAGCTCCCCCAGTCACCACACCTACCAACTGTGTGAGAAGAGAGCTATTAAATATATCTGCTTTACAGAGGTGCCTGAATGGCTCAGTCAGTTCTAAGTATCCAACTCTTGATTTTGGCTCTTCCAGATCTCATGATTCATCTCACGGTTCAGGAGATCAAGCTCCATGTCAGGCTATGCTCTGTGCTGACAGCATGGAGCCTGCTTGAGATTCATTCCGCCCCTTCCCCACTTGCATGCCTCAAAGTAAAAAAGTAATTATCTCTGCTGTACAGACGACAAAACTGGGGCGCCTGGGTGGCTCAGTTGGTTAAGTGTCCAGCTTCGGCTCAGGTCATGATCTCACTGTTTGTGGGTTCGAGCCCCATGTCGGGCTCTGTGCTGACAGCTGAGCCTGGAGCCTGTTTCGGATTCTGTGTCTCCCTCTCTCTCTCTGACCCTCCCCTGTTCACGCTGTCTGTCTCTCTCAGAAATAAAGAAATAAAACTTAAAACAAAAAAACAAAACTAAGGGATGTAGGGCTAAGCTGCTTGTCCAAGGTTATACAAGAGGAGACAAGGACAGGACTGAACACCAACACCTAGAAGAGTAAGTGAAGTATAAAGCCTAGATAGAATCAGCTATAGAAATGGAAGCCCCACAGTGGGAGCAATGTCAGAGCTGATCTGTAGCTTTGTCTCTGAGCTTCCTAGCAGCCAAGGTAAAGAAAGAAAATGTTCTCCCCCTGAAGTCAGAATGGCCGTAGAAAAGCTGCCAGCTTTGTGGATACTGGGAGCTGAAACTTGCTCCTCAGTTGTGGGGTGTGGGTGTGTGTTGTGAGTGACATGCTACTGCTTGTATCACAGTATCTGGAGTGGAGTTACATTTCAACCAAGCTAATGCTCCTGTAGCTGCTAACATAGCCCCAGGGTTTGGGCTCAGCGCTCCATCCTGGTTCTGTCTCATCACACTGCTCAACCAGAAAGGCAGCCACTGATCCTCCTACACAACTAGTGCTCCCCACTCCCAACCTGGACCATTCAGCTAGGGCCACAGGCAGGATTTATTCTGCCCCATGCTCTCTCATTCTCCACTCTGGTCTGGGCAGAGCCTCAGGCAGCACAATTTGATACACCAGCACTGGGGTTCAGGTCCTGGCTCTGGCTCTAGCTGTGTGGCTCCAAGCAAGACAACTGGGCTCGTGGGGGCAGCTCTCCCACAGGCTGCCTGCAAGGACTCCAGAAGAACCTGTGTCACTGTAGCCAGTGGGCAGATGAGAGCCAGCATCTGTGCAGCCAGGGCCGGCTGTGGGTGAGGAGGGGGAATCCTCTTTACCACTGCCTGCCAGGTCAGCAGTTCTTCAGCTGCTGGGGATAGAGCTGGCATGAAGGCCCCACATTCAGAGTGAAACCAGTGGCTTTGCTGGTTAATCTCTGCATTCACCCTGGGGCCAGGGCCCAGAGCGGAACTGAAAGGGAGACTAGGCCTGTTCCCTCTTGGCCTGGCCTACTTCCTCCCAGTGATCCTGAGGGCCCAGAGCCAGCGGGGAGGCTTGGGGGCCAAGTAGAGCCAACTGCAAAAGGAGAAGGAAGGAAATCACCCTTGTACCTCACCCATTTTGCAGAAAGGAAACAGAGGCTCTAAGCGGCTGGCTGGCCATGAAAGCTGCCAGTCCCGAGCACTCCAGCGCGCCCAGGGGCTGTGTAGGTCCTGCACAAGACTCCTGTGTCTCCCCACATCTCATGGGCTCTCATCCAGGCAGAGAAATTAGGGTATAGGGGAGAAACTTGGAAGATAACACTCTGGCTGGTACTGGTCACTTAGGGCTGGGACTGCCTGAGCTTGCTCCCTCCTTTGCAAGGTTAGTCCGACGTTAAGTGTTGGGGGCGGGTTCCTAGAGTTGTCACTCCCTCCAGACTGCGGGGGTGGGCCTGGATTGGGAGGAACCCCAGTCTGGCCAACCCTCTCCTGCCAGGCTGCCCCTTGCCTCAGTGTTCACCAGCCCTCCAGCAGGTGGGCAGGGACTGAAGGCCGGTGGCCTTGCCCTAGCGTCACCATCCATCTCTCGGGGACTTCTGGTGCCTGCATGTCCAAAGCAGTCCCATGCAGGGCTTGGGGATGGGCTCTTGACCCGCTTTTTGAAAAGGTAGCTTCTGAGATGTGGAGGTCAATTTCCCCCAAAGCCATAGCACCAAAAATTAGCCTTGGGGCCTGCCGTTTCCAGCTCTCTGCCTCTGTCCCATGCTGGCTGGGTCGGGCTGGTCACCTGGCTGTCTCCTGGCCTGGGGGAAGAGAAGAGGTACCAGAGGCAGGGGCCCATTCGGGCTTCCCCCTCATTTCCCCCATCATCTCTGTATCCTTCCTTCATTCTCATCTGCTTTTCGCCTGTGCTGGAAGCAGCCCCTGATCATCTCATGACCCTGGAGAAACAATCTTATGAATCTTCTCACAAGAGAAAGTGGGGGGAGGGGAGCGGCAGTGGAGAGGAGACCTTCTTTCTGAGAAACTCTTGTCCCAGAGATGCTGGCTCCCTGGAAACCACCATCTGCAAGGTCAGTCTCTGCGCCAGCCAGGTTCAGTCAGGACCCAGAAAAGGTGCTCTTGGTGGCAAAGGGGTAGGGGACCACCTCCCATGCACTCTGACCCCTGTGTATGTTGGAGGTCATGGGAGCTTCCTGGGCCCAAGATTGTGTGGATTTCCAGCTGCTTGTAACTGGAGCCAGCCAGACCAGCCTTTACCGGTTTACGCATGTTGGCAGAAGCCCCAAGAGCCGGCAGCTAAGCTATTCTACCTCCCCTCACCTGCACACCATGAAGCCAGACCCACCCCTCCTTAATCCTCAGATTTGAAGGCAGGCTGATGTGGGAGTCTGAGGTTCTAGGCTGTATGCTGTGGACAGAGGTAAAACTCGATCTACCCTCCTTCAGGCAAATGACTTCACCTCCAAGAAATTGTGTTCAAGATGTGGTTACAGTATGGGCTTTTCATGGCTGATGTTTGGTCAGGAGAGGCAGCACTAATGGGGAACCAATGTAGGGCAGAGGGGAGAAGCTAAAGGCATAACAAAGGCCTGGGCCCCTAACACAGCACTACAGAGGGAAATGAGACCTGGATTGGATAGCCTCATGTCCATGCTCCAGGTCTGTTTTGACGAGGGGGTCAGCAGCCAACGTGGCCTGGTTGGGTTTGGGGCTCTGCTCCACCAGTGGAAGGAGAGACCGATGTCAGCTGGAGTGTCCACAGGTTCACATAAAGAGGGCGGTGGCCCTCTGCTCACTTTGGTTCCTGCAGATTGCAGTGTTTAGGTGAAGACAGGTTTAAAGTGTCCGTTTTGGTCTCCTAGAGTTCAAAGCCCAAGCTACAGGCAACCTGCTCTAATATCCAGGAGGTCCGGCGATGCACACGTCTCGAGATGCCTGACAACCTCTACACCTTTGTCCTGAAGGTGAGTGACGGCTTTCCACACCCGGGGGGGTGGGGGGGGGTCCATACATCCACACCTGAGGCACCCACACAACCGCTCCCTTCCTCCCTGCCAGGTGAAGGACCGGACGGACATCATCTTTGAGGTGGGGGATGAGCAGCAGCTGAACTCCTGGATGGCTGAGCTCTGGGAGTGCACAGGCCACGGGTGAGGCCCCAGAACATAGGGCCCCACTCTGGGCACAGCCTCTCCTGCTCCCCTGATCTACCCAGGTGCTAACCTCAGCCTCTTCAGCAGGCTGGAGAGCACAGACCCAGAGACGCATATTCCCTCGGCCCTAGAGCCTGGCACGTCCAACTCTCCGGGGGGAAGCACAGATTCCCTGAACCAAGGTGAGTGGGTCTAGACCTCTGTCCTCCATAAGTCGGAACCAGCTTTAGCCCAGGACAGAAGGCCCCCACAGGGGGTCACCATCACCATCTTGTCTACCAGGTGCTTCTCCTGGGGGGTTGCTGGACCCAACCTGTCAGAAAACAGATCATTTCCTGTCCTGCTACCCCTGGTTCCATGGCCCTATCTCCCGAGTGAAGGCAGCTCAGCTGGTTCAGCTCCAGGGTCCTGACGCTCATGGAGTGTTCCTGGTGCGGCAGAGTGAGACACGGCGTGGGGAGTATGTGCTCACATTCAACTTCCAAGGCATAGCCAAGGTATGGGGCATGGCAGGTGGGCCGGTCCCCCTGCCCACAGGTTCAAGGCCTGCAGCGGCCACTGCCTGAGCCTACTGTACTTGCCTCCTGTAGCACCTGCGCCTGTCGCTGACCGAGCGGGGCCAGTGCCGAGTGCAGCACCTCCACTTCCCCTCCGTCGTGGACATGCTACACCACTTCCAGCGTTCGCCCATCCCACTTGAGTGCGGTGCTGCCTGTGACGTCCGCCTGTCCAGCTACGTGGTAGTCGTCTCCCAGCCACCAGGTGTGACCCTTGATAAAGGGGGTGGGTGGCAGAGGGAACCAGGTAGAGGGTAAAAGCTTGCTGCAAACCCAGAGCCACAGAGATGGTTTTGTGTTCTTCCATCATTTAGCCCCTGTCACATTAAGACTGACCATGTTGGTCTCTCTCTTGATCACTTGTCCCCCAGGTTCCTCCAACACTGTCCTGTTCCCTTTCTCCCTCACTCACTGGGATTCGGAGCTGGGCCTTCCCCACCTTAATTCTTCTGGCTGTCCACGGGGGCTGGGCCCAGACGGTCTCCCGGGCCGATCCTCTCCCCCAGAGCAGATATTCCACCTGGTGCCTTCGCCCGAGGAACTGGCCAACAGCCTGCGGCACCTGGAGCCTGAACCCACCAGTCGAGCCCGGGACTCAGACTACGAAATGGACTCCTCCTCCCGGAGCCATCTACGGGCCATAGACAATCAGTACACACCTCTCTGACAGGCGGTGAGGAACCCTGGGCCTCACACGTGCCCTCGAGGAGCACAAGCAAGCAGAGATGTGAACTTGTGAATGTAACCTTCTTTCCTTCCTTCCAGAGAGAGATGTAAGGGACACTGTTAACTGCTCATTCCATTTTGGATGTGACCCTTCTATTAGGCCTGTTGAAGGGCCTCCTGTAAGTTTTATCCATCCATCACTTGGCTTTCTCCGTATTGTTTACAGATGTAGTTCTTGTTCGCAGATGCCGCTAGCTCCTACCCTCAGTCCCCCTCCCTCTGACGGGGGGTAGTGGGGTGAGGGCCAGAGCAGGTGGCCAAAACTTGGTTCTCTTTCTCACTGACACTGTCACTGCTGATGACAGACTCTGGGGGGGGGGGGGGGGGGGGGTCATCAGGAAGCCCAAAACACTAACAAGCCCTGGATTCTCATATGGTTTGCCCCTCGTTGCCTCAGTCCCTGTGGCAGGCCTGGCGCTACCCGTGCCGTAGGTAAATACACCAGTCCTGCTTTAGCTCGCAGCTTCGGGACAAAGCTCAAGGTTAAAAATGATTTTAAACATTTTACCTCAGATTAATTTTTCAAAGGATTCAGGTTTCAAAACTAAACCATTGCTTATTTCATTGCACTCTTTAAACTAATACTCATGCGATTTTGTAGTCTGAGACAGCTATGCAAACCCTACTTGACTTGTTCCTGGTCTGGGCCAGCATGCCTGGCTTCTTTGTCTTTTGCATCCTCAGGACAGTCATCTGCTACCTACTGAGTAGTCACTGTCCTTCCTAAATGTGGAGAAGTGAAGTATGTCACCCTTTCAGGGACATTCAGGCAACTACTGAACTAGGAGGGTGGCAAGGAATAATCTACCCTGGTGCCTTATGAACAAAAAAACTGGATTCTGGTTTACAGTAGCTTTATGGTGAAGAGTTAAACCAGTTTACCTAAGGGGCAATAAGGGGGGAGGGAGGAAGGGCTCCTGGCCCCTTTCTTCTAATAAATCCTTTACCACCAGGGCTGGCTTGGAGCCCCCCAAGCATCTAATGGCTCATAAACTATCCCACAAGGCTTTAGGCTCGTTCTTGAGCCAATATGGGAACTAGGAAATCTGGTGCCACAACTAATGAGAAATTCCTTTAACAGCCCACACTCAGTGTTCTGTGCCAGCTGCTTCATTTGAGGAGGAATGTGTGTGCGTATACACATGGGCGCACATCTCCAACAGCCAGAGGGCGGGGGTGGGGGTTCTGCAGTCAAATCTCCATCTATACTTGCCTTTCACCAGTGATACAATTCACAGGGGGGCTGGCTCCTCCCAGAACTTTCAGACAGAGGCTCAGAAACAAGGGGGCCAGTGACAGAGTGGAGCCAGCTGCTCTGGGTGCCAGCAGAGCCATTTCATACAGCCACCAGGCTCACCAAAGTGGCTTCTAGGAAACAGAGTTTAGTACAACTTAACATTTACAGATACATCAATCAGAGACTAAATTTAAACCCTGGCCTAAGACTAACTACTAGCTACCGCCTGCTTTATCTGGGGTGAGGGTTTGGTTTGCTCCCTCTGGCCATTCTCCGTACTCCCAGAGGTCAGACTTCTACAAAAAAAATTTGGGGGCAGGGGAGAGGGAAGTAGTCCCCTCTTCACCACTTGAAAAAACCAATGCTCCTGGGTGTTTTCACAGATTGTAAAGCAGATCCATTCCTGATCCAGATTGGTGGTCTTTTTCTAAGAATATTTTACTTTCCTTTTCTACACAAGGCACGTTTCTCTAAGTAATAAATGCTAAGCGAGGTGTGAACCAGGAAAGTAAGCACTATTCTGATTTCTCTTTTAAAAGAGAAAGCTCATTCTAGAAAGCCAATTCTGACAAGTCACTGGTACAGATTTTTCCTTGTCTACACAGGAAAGGGGCCAAGTAAACAACCACCCAAGTTAGTCCCCTCCCTCTAGCCATAAGTGTAAAACATCTGGGATGTGACCTCTTTAAGCCAGAGACACTCATTTCTTAGCTTCTCCCCATACAATTCTCAGGTAATGCCAAGAGGCATGCCAGGCACAGCAAACTAGCAGCTCTGACCCACTGGCTACAAAGGACAAGATCAGACTCCATGACAGATCACTGAGAGTCACCCACCTCCAGATCAGGTGTAAAATGTTCAAGGAAAACGTTTCTTTTTTAAACACGTCCAAGTTACCAGGACAGCTCAAATACATCCCAGAAAAAAAGCCCCCTCATGGTCTGGGAAGAACTGACACTGAGCCAATGCCTCTTTTGCTAGAGTAAGTTGAGCTAGAGGCAAAGGCCACCTGGGGTTGATGCCTTCACAAACAGTGAGGCAACGTCCCCGCTGGCTACAGCCAGCCCATCGCAGTCATGGCAAATCCCACCACCCTCCTCCTGGCCCCAGTGTGACCGCTGCTGGCAGCAAGGTAACAATAGCCCCGGCTGAGAGCCCAGGCTCTCTGCATGCCAAAAGGACGGTAAGCATCATGACCCTCCAGTTATCTCTAATTACAAACGACAAGGATAGCCTGACTGCTCCCAGCACCATCACTTCATTCTTCTGTCTTGAATGAACTTTTACAAACTAACAGTCACCAGCACCAAAGAATTAAGTCAACTAACCTGCCTTGAATTTTAGACCAGCAATCCATATGGCTTTATCTGGTATAAATCTTCTGCCTTTGATCATTTCTGGACCGTGTAGGAAAAAGGAATAGCAATCATTAAAATCTTAGGCCAGAGAACACTATTTTTACATAACAGTTTCTTTAACCTAAAATCAAGGCCTTGAACTCCTCCCTAAATGTTGCCTGGGATTCCTTCATGCTCTTAATTCAGGGCTACATCTCTTATCGCACATGTCATGTGAGCTCTAACATCTCCCACAGGCTAGAGGACCTTGATAGTATATTATCCACTGCCTCTTAACAAGGACACATCTGACATCCAGTGTTTGGTTGGAATAAGCACATTGTAATGACAACAGAATAAACGGATCCATTCTGTATCATTATAGGCAGAAAGTATTTGACAAATTTTTATGTAATGTTTATGTACTGTACAAGTAACTTATTCTTGAATAATGCAGATTTTGCTATAATGTACAAACTGCTACACAGGAATTAAAAAAAGTTTTCAGAATCTTGATTTGTTGCCACAATATTTAAAGTTCTATTATAACAGGACTGTGGTCTCTTGCAAGGTCCTTGCTCTGCTCAATTACTCGCTTCGCCCTTTGTCCTCCCACAAACTGGGAACATTAGCAAATGCTTGTGAATCTACAGCAATAAGGTACTTTGTACATCACTGCTTTTCAGCTCTTGGAATTTATCAAGTTTCTTTTTAAGAAGTATCTTCTGCCCCCTACTGGTAAAAGATGGGTGAATCAGGAAGACTTGCGACTAACAACACTCATTTTGGGTTCAGGAGATATTTAAAAAGGAAGCTTACAGAACCAGCATCAGGCTGAGGACGTGGGATCTCAATGCTGCCCAGCTCTGGCCAGCCTTCCTCCTTCTGGAGCGGACCTTTTTCCAAAGAGAATGTCTCAGTCTTGTCTTTTTCTAGAGATACCTTGAACCAGAACTAAAGGTGAAGAAGAGAAGTCATTTGACAACTAACCTTCCAGGATTTAAAAAAGTACACTCAGCCCTCCTGCCTTGATATGAAGTATCCTATAACAAATATCTTAAGCTTATACAAACACACACTAACTTGATATCAGTTTTTAAAACTTTTTTTATTTTTTATTTTTTTTTAAGTTTTTATTTTATATTATCTACAAAGTAAAAGTTTTTCCCTTAACTTAAAAGTTGAACCACTGTAGACAGTGATCACTTCATCAAACTTGATTTATAAATAATAACCCGTCATTTTGACGGTAAGAATTTACTGAACCTTTGTCAAGTTTAGTAAAAGGGCGTTCCAAGTCTTGATTTTTTTTTTTTTTTTTTTTAGCAGTAATAGCAGCAAGAATCAACTCTTGTTACTTCTTTTGCTAGCTGATGTGTTCATGACTTTCGAGGGTCATTAAAAAATAAATAACTTCCAGTTTCAGCAAGCAGAGCTGGGGTACTCGCGGGACTCTGAAACAGCATATGGAATTATGGAACAGCCCACAAGTTCCTAAATGCCTCTACTCGGTCCAAATATCTTCCACTGCAAGTGAACTGTTAGCATTCCTATTGGATGTTACAAGAAATCAACATATATCTTTTAAAAACAAAATAAATGAAATTCTAGTTTTCTGTGCTTCCAGTTGGTAGAAGCAGTAGAAGGGAGGAGGGAATTTGGCCTTTCGGTTCCTCCAGGGCAGCCTTACAACTGCTGTTGGTGGTGGGCTTGTACTGTAAAAAAGAAAAGTGAATTTTTAAACAGGAAACTGGCAACACCGCACATTAGCCTAGTGTCTCTGCAGCACATGACTGTAAAAACTATCCTCGTGCTAGCTGAACAAGACTCAAAATTGAATCCACTCTTCCCCCTCCCATCTGCACCAAAAGGGGAAGGGGTAGGTGGGTGGGTAAAACAAACCAGTCAGATGTAAAACCACTTCAGATAAAACTCCCAGAAGACTTGTTGCTCACGGGGTAGAAATAAAAGGCCTTAACATACCCCCTCCCCAAATACTAGCCAAGCACCATTATTGCTTTCAGAGTAACAGGTTAGACTGTGAAATATTGCCATGGCAGCCATCAAGTATTAAGAGCACAATCACGGGGCATTCTCTCCCTGTCAGGGCATAGGCTGGAGCTAATGCTACACTCAAAACCAATCCACACACAGCACACTTTATCATCAGTAGTATTCTCCAGAGCTACAATCAAACTCTGCTATGGTGGTAACCACCCCCGTCAGACTGGGGAAGGGGAAACTAAGGAAGGAAAACGCTGCCCTGCCCAGCCTCTTGTAACAAGGAAGGCCAACTGAGTCCTAAGCATGCATCAGCCACACAGAATGCTGCTGCTGCTTCTCATCAAGCCAAATCCTGTATACCATCAGAACACACACAGACTCAGCTCCTGGAAGCCTCAGGCCCTGACACTGAACTGATCATCGCAGTCCCTATTGAGCACACTCTGGAGGGTCTTGCTAATTCTCAAATGCGGGGCTTGAAGCACTGGCCCTGCCTGCCATTCGACCTGTGCGAGCAGAATGCTTTGGGGTGCCCGGCGGCCCCTGCACACACACGCCTCACCTGAAGGGTGCGTCATATAGGGGAAATGCGCTGTTGTCGAGACTGGAATGGGCTGTAGTGCACTTTGAGCGAGGGCGGCCTGGGGACCGCCGGGTGGCTGTGTCGTCATTAGCATCATTGGCGCATGGGCAGTTGGATGAGAAGGAACCATTCCTGACTGTACATGAG